GTTTGGCCTGGTGATAAAAAGTTATAGTGGATCACACCAGCCGATGACCACCAAGCCGTGACCAGAATCTTTTTTCGTGAGGGTTCGGCTTTGAAAATTACCTCGGTGGTTCGTCGAAATCCAACCACTGTCCGGAACGTCTCCTGTTATCATACATGACCCATTTTTCATCACAGGTGACAATTCGGCCCAAAAACAGGTCGTTTCTGCTGCGCAAAAGCAGTGAAGAAGGAACCTCGAGACGTGCCGATTCCTGCCGGTCACTCCGATTGTGGGGCACCCAATTGTCGAGTTTTTTCACCTTCCCAATGCGTTCCAGACCATCTGCAACAGTGGATTTGCCAACGCCTAGCTCTTCTGCTATCTCTCGAACTGTTTGGGATGGGTCAGCCTCCAAAATCCCCCTAAAATCCTCGTCAGATATTGCTTTAGGTCGACCGCTATGAGGTTCATCTTCAAGGCTGAAATCTCCAGAACGAAATTTGTTGAGCCATTGCCGCACAGTGCTTTCTCTAGCACTATTGGGCCCCCACACCTGGTTAATTTGTTGAGCTGTTTCGATTGCGGATTGCCCCAATTTATAGTCGAAGAAAAAAATCGTCCGAAGTGCTCTTTTCACATGCTTGAAAAAATCTTGAAAAAAGGGGGTTTATCAAGCAATGGTGAAACGGCAATTATACCATCAGATAGCGCAAGAAATTCTCTACAGGATGTGCTACTGAGAAGCAAGGCAGAATGAGTTTTTAATCAGCAGTGAATGTACAAAAAATAGGTGCACAAAACGCTGAGAACTTTCCGGACAACCTAATACAATCTGCGGTTATGATAATAATCACCCATCTGTTTTGAGAATCTATGGTTCTATCTTAGGTGCGGTGATTAAGAGAAAACAGTATGTATTGTATTCGACGTTGATGAAATGTAATGCTAAAGAACAGGCATGCCGGCGTCTTCTTCCAGAAATGACTTGGAGGAGGATTGAGGGTGGGTCAAGATTAATTTGTTCCTCTATTCGGTCTAAGGCCAAATCTTCCCTTTGTGCGAAATACGATAGGCTTCTGGAAACAATTCACGAAGACACTCGTAGTCAGCTCACCCATGAACCACCTCTTTACTAACACGAATGCGCGCAATGGTGATGAAACTACGAGAGTCACTGTCTTGGGTGACGCTCACGTGTCCTCGAACGCGCTCGACTTTCTCAGTCTCGGTCCATCTTTCTCACCTGCACAAAACATCGGTGCTTCAACATTCCGCAAAGTTGTGGGAAGTTTACAAAGGCTTCGGATCTACTGCGTTCAAAACACCGTCGCGACAATAACATGATTTCCACCACGTCAACTCAGAGATCACTCCCATCAGTGCCGTTCCCACGTACACTCTACAAGGAAACTGAACCCATAGCAGAAGTGGATGTCAAATTAAGAAGCCTGTCAGCAGGAATTCTGTCTGTTCTGACTCAGAACAGACGGTCCCGCTGCAGCAATTTGACATACGAGCAATGGCAAGGTTTCAAAGAGTTACGTGAGCAAAGATCGAACGGCACCATACGCATCTCTGTGAGTGATAAAGGTGGAGAGTTTGTGGTCATGTCACAAACCCTTGATCGTCAGATCACGGAACTCCACCTGGCGGATTCATCAGTGTATCGTCAAGCGACAGAGAGAGAATTTCACTCTCAATGCAGACGTCTCAATAGTGTTTGGATGCAGCAAGGACAATCTGCGGGACTCAACGAGAAGTTTCTCAGTAGACTCAGACTCGACAGTCCGGATTGCCCTGTCTTTTACAGCCTTGTAAAGACCCACAAACTTGCTCCTAGTGAGATGCTGTCAACGTCACCGGAAACTTTCAAGATTCGACCTATCATTAGCTGCGTCGGTGGACCAACCGATCGAATTTCATGGTTTCTCAATTGCATCGTGGGCAAGTTGTTGACCAGAGTTCCCTCTCACCTGACCAACACGACTAAGTTCCTTGAACAGTTACGCAATGTGCGGTTAACATCCAATTGCGTAGTGGAGTCATTCGACGTCACTTCGCTTTATACTAACGTCCAAAACGAACAAGCTCTACAGGCCTTGTCTGAAATGTTGGACAGGCATGTTGGAAGCATAGAGACCTTTGGATTAGATAAAGCGCACATCATGACTCTAATCAAGGCATGCTTAGAATGTAACATCTTTAAATGGTCAGGAGCCTATTATGCTCAAACGAGAGGTCTCGCGATGGGTCAACGCTTAGCACCAGTACTTGCAGTCTGCTTCATGAGCAGAATAGAAGAGCCAGTACTGGAACGATTACCCTTAATGTACTGCAGGTACATCGATGACTGCTTTATCGTAACATCAACACAATCCGAAATGGATGAGTGTTATCGTTTGATGAACCAGCAGTCGCAGTACATTAAGCTCACGCGAGAGATTCCCCGCAATGGTTGGCTGCCTTACTTGAATACGCAGGTGAAAGTTTCCGATGGCATGCTCAGTGTGAAGTGGTACAGAAAAGCAAGCTCTAAAAACATCTTGATTCATGCCACATCTGCACATCCTTCTGCCTTGAAACATGCAGTTGTCCGAAACATGTTCAGGACAGCTGCAAACGTGAGCACAGGTGTGACAGAACGGCAAGAGTCTACACGATTGGCTGCTGATATAGCTGTTTCTAATGGCTATACTGTTCCACAAACCCACAGAAGGGTTCACTCTGAGCGCCCTAGGGTACCACGTGAGACTGGCCAAAACAAGATCCCGTTCATATCTGATAATGTAAGTGGCTGCACTCGAGATGTCTAGTTAGTGCAAGTTTGGAGGATGATGTGGCTACTAGAGTAACATACTTAATGAGAACCATCAGGCGCCCAGTTTTGTACGTTAACAGGACTTCTACGAACAGACATTTGTATCCAGCATCGTTGTATTATATTGTCCCACGCGTAATAGCAGGAGAATTGGCGCCAATATGCTGGCGTAATTCTACCAAATCGTATAGCCAGACATGTAATGCCCAACATACAGTTGAGGAGAGCACTGGAAGGCACTGGCAAAACGTATCAAAGTCATTCCATGCTGGATAAAGGACTTGGGTAGCATAACAACACCATTTACGGGATAGCATCTGATCGATAGGAGCACCGCGGCGAAGCGAATTTGATCGTGAATGTGAGGAAATCCCCCCCCCCAATAAGCGCTACCAGTAGACTTAGAATCTCCAGCAAGAAAGCGCTTAAGGCATTCTTTATTTCGGATTTTCCCGCAAATTGAAATCCTAGAATGAATAATCGAAATGAGTGTTTAGCCACAACAAATGATCTCTTACTGTTACTGTTTTCACCACATTGCGAGCTAATTATGTAAGCGGTGAGACGTGCAAGTCCTGATAGCTACTATATATAAGGACTGCACGGTGTTGTACTCTCCTTCACTTTACTACATTAGTGGAAGCATGCGTTGTCCGCTCACCAGCGGAAAATTGGGTGAGCATGCCTTTACTTAACGGAGAGGTTTTTGCCTTGTTTGTGGAAGATACCGATCGCGGAAACGCCAGAGCGATGATTGCGTTTGGCGATATGTAGAGCAGCAAATTAAAAACCCTGAAGCTGATGTTTAGGGGCCGCTTAAGACGACGGTCTGGTCAGAACGTCTACGGCCGTAAATCAAAGATCCACCTACAAACTTCGACTTGATGGCAGAAGATATTTAGAACATCAAATTGTTGAGCAAGTTATTGTGCGTTGTTGAGTTTTCTCTCTTTATACATTCACAGAACGGATTACATTGAGACACCAAAACAACTACATAGAGGTTGTTCGTGCGTTGTAAAAAAGAGAACTTGCAATCAATGTTAATTGATCAGAATAGTGTTCCAACTCCCTTCCCTGCCTCGCAAGAGTATGTTCTAGATGTCTGGTAGGCAGGCAGGGTTGTGATAAGCGAGCATCGAAGGAGAAAGTTCACGGGAGGGGTCGCATTTGCACAAATTTTTGCTTAATTAGTAATTTGACCTGCATGAATGTGACGATTCTGTTACTTCTGCGACCCGACTATATACCGTAATAAGAGACTCTGATTCCATAATCCATATTGTCGGTTAACGAGTAGGGTTCAACGAGCGTTTTAAAATTGCAACCGAAGCCGGGTCACAAACAAGTCACGGACAAGGTTTGTGGGCATGTGTGAAGACGAGATAATTGTACACCGACGGAACGAATAGCCCTCATCCCTTGTAAACTATTACGGTCGAAATGCGGTTAACATCCGCCATAAACGTTCATTTCCCTTTACATAATAGGACGTCTCAACCAGACGTTCAACTAGCTACTTTACTATTCAAACGCATAAAGCACGATAATTCGCTACTCGCTCTGAAATGGGGTGCTATATAGTGGAAAAATTCAAAAAAGCCAAGTCAAACGGTCAAAAAGTCTCCCATACAGTGATTTGCGAGATCCATTCAATACACAAGTCAGTTGTTTACCCTCCCAGACGAATCTGCAATCCTCAGAGGGTTAAGGGTTTGTTGGCCTGGACGAGCAGATCCGGAAATTGACCTCGAACTGCGAGCGCGAACGAGCCATGTGCCACTGGAGCTCCCACACTATAGCCAATACTTACAAAATATTATACAATACCAGCTTTCAAGATTAATCAATAACAGTGCTTGCACATCGAGACCACTACAACTATCAAATCATGGCAATATTCTTGAGAAAAAGGCTGCATGCACGGCTCACTCCAATGGTGTTATGTGGTTCCATCGATGTAACAACCAAAGAATTTTTGTAAGTAAGTTTACAAAAGAAAGCGTTGTAATAAAAATTTATTATAAGGCAGAAATCACAATTACCCTGAGATCTTTAAAACATAACAATAAACGAATAATTTAGATCTGTATCTATACATATCACAGAGTGATCAGAAAACCCTATGAAAAGCAAAATCTATGAAATCTCCTGCTGAATTCCTAACTGATCAATATTACAAAGTATCTTAAAATTGGTACTATACTGTCAGCAGCAGTGACAGGAATTTGAATGGTTTCAGATGTGGAACGTAGGTGCTCGCATTAAACACTGGTGCTGAGTCATCTAAGCCAGCCAAATCCGTTTCTTGGACCTTCTTGACATTCATCGATTCGAAGTAAGCACGCAAAAATGGCTGAATTTTGAAATCACTTTGTTCCCAATTTATAGCAAATCACTGCTTTTTAGCTTAAGTGTCTATTACTTTTCAAGCTACAACCAGTTCGTACCTCCAGATCAACTCCGCATTCATTAAGCATCGTGTGCGCCATGCGATCGCCATGGTTGAATATTGTCAGAAGGCGTCTGTTATCAGACAGCGGCCGAACAGTAAGCAACTGGAGATTACATGGAAGAGGTGGAATATTGACTGAAGGCGGAATAGAAGTGTTGTCTGGAAATCGAGGGTGTACTTTAGTTGCTCACCACAACCTTTGTGGTATGCGCCGCGAAGTTGACTTCCATTGCGTATTTTTGAAGTGTTTGAATACGCACTCGTGAATACGGCACACTATGTAATGAGATAGTAAAATTGATCTATACTCTATACCCCGGAGTGGCTGCGCACTTAATTTGAACAAGAATCGTTCTTGTGGGATCTTGCAATGGCAAAGGTTGTTCCCTTATTCACCTAAAATCTTATCTATCGTCAAGTTCACGTGAGTCTTGCGGCCACACTCTCCGAATTCACGGACAGATGGGCCTGTCTTAGTAAGCGAAAGGCTATTATGCCACAGTTTCGTAGAACCTGATCAGCTTCGGCAATAGAACTTCAAAACTAGCTTTTTGAAAGGATACTGAATCAAAACTTAACTCAAGGTCGTGAGCACTATCGGCGAGTAAATAGTGCTTTGCACTGAAAGATGTCCGGCTGACGTGTGTACGGTGTATCGTGAGTGGTCGAGATTATCCTGAAAAAGTAAAATTATTCCTACGCCAGGGCACACAATCACAGCAAGTTTAAAAAAAATTCTAGTTTTCAGTAATGATATGCCAGCCGCGTCGCAGCCGCGCGCGCTTCTGCTGGACATGACTTTATGGTTTGCACGCGGCTGCGGGTCGTAGGACCCGAGTTTGAGCAGGGACAGCACATCGCTCTTGCTGTGCGGTAAACTAGTGTTCCACACCCCTCTTCAAATTTTCAAACAAAAGGACAGGGCATCAAAAAGACGCTCATTCAAAGTACCCCTGAAATTTTTCGGGAAGGGTGATGCAGTAAGTGGATACCTCGGACAACGGACACCAGTCTCAGTTCATGTTTTCAGAGTCCCTTGAGCTGGCGTGCTTGGGATAGCAGGGTCCTAGCGAACAACCTGATCTGTAAGGTTCATTCGTGAAGATCCAGCTATAAAACATCAAAAGGTCAACCGAAAAGCTGAGCGGCTGGTCTCTTCGAAGTCAGAGCGACAGTCTCTTTCTAGGGTTAGGTCACCTGTTTTACACGCAAGTGACCTAACCCTAGAAAGTAAACAGCCGGGTTCGATTACTGTAGACGTTCTCGAGTTGGAGTGTTATTAGGAAGGACTCCACCTTGTCGTTAGGTGGAATGGTTGCTCGTGCTTATGGGGAGACATCTTGACAACCTTTTACCAAAGATTTTCCATCTATCTTGTCGCCTGTGCGAAGTGAACTTTGACGATGCACGAAGTGTCGTCTTTGTGCCTCCACCTCTTTACTAAACATGGAAAACCAAGCAAGTAGATGATCTTTGCAATGGGGGAGCCATACTTATGATTTTGAGAAGTCATTTTTAGAAGGGAGAGGTGATAGGCATCCATAGAAAGCAGGACTTCCTTCTTTCTTCTCACGTCGCTTACCGTGCTCATGCTTTCCGAAAAAGACATACAAGGTTGGGAAGAACTAGTGGGTAATCATGGCTAGGTAGTTGAGGGTCTAACCAGAGGTGGATTGGGACTCGTTCTTTCTTGTTCTGCGCATTTCCTATGGATTCATTCCCAACAGGATTAGGCTTAGACGCGTAGCGAGTTGTGGGGTGCGACCTGGTATTCATCACCTTCTTCTGGTATATAAAGCCTCGAGGAGGACAAATATCGCACCCAACTCGGCCTTGCGGGCGTCGACGATCTTGTTATTACTGGCTGACGGCTAAATTACTTTCGGACCGTTAACTCTGTATATGCAATGAAAAGAATAAGCGATCATTCACCTTGGCAGGGGTCTTCTCCCAGAGAATCGTAAACCTCATGTGTAACAGTAGATTATGTCAGGGATAGGTCCATACTCACTGCCAAAGGACCATGTCATCGTCGAGTGAATGATCTTTCTATAAAAATGTACTTGACAATAATCAAAATTGATATTAGCCAATGCTGCCTGTTTGTTGATATAATCAATTAGCATGCCACAGAAGTACGGTTATGCGAGATGGTGGAACTGCTTGTGGGAGAGTTACTTTGCCAGTATAATAGGATCATTTCAGATCGAAAGCGTGCTTGCGAAACAATCAGAAACCGTAGCAGGACGAGAATTGCATTGTTAAGAGACACTGACACAGAATTCCAAAGATGCGTTTAGGGATTGCGTATGAGAAAAATCTCTTTTTTGATCCAGTCCGCAATCTCAGGTGTTGTCTTAATTTTGCTCAGTGGCGACGGGCCGTAACAATGGAGGGCTTACCAATCTAGAGACGAGATATGCCAGCGGTGGACCAAATGAGACGCGCTTCGTTCATTTGTGCAAGAACAAGCTTGCTGTCTTGTTCGCCTTTCCTGTCTTCTCACGTCGTGGGTGTTTGGCACGCGCAGCAGCAGTGCTGAATGTACCTCACAGATCGCAAGACCAAGGTATGTTGGTATGGCCCAATTTGAATACTCGTTCAGTCTTGGGACCTTACTTATGGCGCCTTCAACGACTTGGTCCATTTTCCTCTTCCCTGGCCCTGGTGAGTCGAGTGTCATCTACGAAACCGTATGCCATTCCACGAACTGCCATCGCAGAAGCGTATTGAAGCTGCGCTGTACTAATCGAGATTCCACCCTTTTTGCAGAGAAGTGGCTACTTCTATAGGTACCAGTGATTTTTATCTACTTATGTACTGCCTGTGATTAAAAATCCACCAGAAGAGGAGTGAGTCAGGTTGAAATAACAAGTACGACAGATCACCAAGGACGGACTTTACTACGTTTCCTAGCCGCCACAGGCGGTGACCGATAAACTCACGCGACGTGTACTTACGCGCACTCCATGGATGTGCTCATTGAAATAATTGAACTTGCCTCATTCCCAGGTATAGCATGCGAGAGTGGAATGCGCGTATAGACCATGCAAAGCCTTGGCATCACTTAGGATTGGCTCATTTTGTCCCACATCTACCAAATAACCTTACGCTAGATGACGCGATACACGCATAGGTAGGAAAAGTAGGAGCTACATAGGACTAGATCTCATCGAATAGGTAAACTGGTACTGAAATATTCTGTTTTCTTACCAACAATCGCCTCGAATCCAGAATCGTTTGTTCTGCATCCATGAGGAACGTTGCTGGACACAGTGATTCGAACATCGTTATCCTCGAGTATAGCCGACGTCGGCATGGGGAAAAACTCTTCCGCTTTCCTACGAAGCAGCTAAAATATGGTGTCTGCCTGCACGTACAACAACTTTAGTTATAATTAGTAATAGTCAGCATGTTTCTGAGAAAGGCAATAGGAGTAAGAAAGCTCCTAGGGATATTCCAAATCCCTGAGATGAGGTGAGCGTGAGTGTGTATTTCATTTGGTATCGGTGGCGGTTGATGTAGGATATTCTCATTTGGGACAAATTGTGATCGGGTCTTTGTTCAATACAAGACAAGATGACAACTGTTTAAGATCAAAATATCACATCTATAATCCGTTCAAGGATATACGCGGCCACGCCTATCGCGTCTCAGGGAGATGAAGTTATCTATCATATATGTAGTACCCGTTTTCTTTCCTCGAAAAAGGCATAAATTAAAGTTTGAATAATATACCCCTTCTAGTAGTGAAAGAACATAGGAGTTTCGAAATTTCTTCAGCAGCTCCCACACGAAAGTGCTTACATGGTCGGATGGCTTGGTAGATAGCGCATTACTCCACTACGGACTCTCATCTTCCCAGAAGTTAGTACTTCAATGATCATTTGTGAGGTAGTTTTGCATTTTTTTATTTTCATGTGACCAGTTCACGCCCCGCCTTGGAAGTTTTGTGCAAGTAGATCCCCTTAAAGTTCTCTCCTCTGGTGCGAGCCCCTTCCCCATCTCCAACATTACCTACCATCTTTCAAAACTTTCCCAACTTCCCACCTCATTTCAGGAGAAATTCTAAATTTTCTCTCAGAAATCACCGTCGGATTAAGGGGGTCTATGAAACGGGAGAAATCAAGGAAAGTCAACAACCAAAAACACTCCTCCCAAAAGCAACTACGACCCCTCCCTCCCACCACCAACCAGATACGACCCCCTCCTCCTCGTCGAGGATCCCAACATACGACGTGCCCTGGTTATGATTTTCTATGTGTCTACTATCTCAGATCCATTCTTTCCAACCTCATATCCGATCAGTTTTGAGGATAGGGCCAGATTCCAAGCAAGTGCAAGTATTTCACCTGAATTCCTACGCTATCCGAGTAGAAACTTGGGAATGTGAGATTCGTACTGAATCCGAACGCCACTTCTCTGTTAACTGAATCGGTGGAGTGGACATCTATGTGGAAGAAATAATTGAGTTGTTCACCAAGCACACCTAAAACATTATAAGCCGTCATTCGGGAATTCTGTGTAAAAAATGAAAAAAGCAATAATGAAGAAAGTAAAAGAGAAGAGTAAAAAGGAAAAATGATGAACGAAATGAAGACGAACCAGCCACATTCTTCAGGGTAAGACCATTATAGAGACCTTCAGCGAAAATGTGCACACTTTCTTGGATTGTTCCATTCACTACCAGATAGTACAGCGGTGGTTTTTGCGCAAAATACTGAAGAATTCAAGGTGAATCATAAAAAGTACAAGAAGACCGTGCTGCTTTTTGCCCAGTATAAGCCTTCAACTCTGATTACAATGCCGCGGAGACACTTG